TTTTATGCTATATTAATTGGCATAATATAAATCAAAAGTAGATTAAATAAATTTTGAAAATAACTTGCTAAAAGATCATGATATGTGCTATTAGACCCACCTGTCACGAAAGGGTTAACAGGTCACTGGTTTTGCAAATGTCCTTATCTTAAATGTGATTGAGACAATATTAATTTTCCTTATATAACATATTTCATGCACTTCTACAAATAGGAACTTGTATATTCTGCAAAAATGCATTTAGAATAACACTGCATAAAGTCTATCATTACTAACACTCATTACAGCTTATCTTACCATTTAAAGTGATGGGTTTTTTGACTACCCACAAAAGTTGAGATGCCAGCATGATTAATTCCCAAGTACATCTGATTTCCTTTTGGATCCTGTAAGTACATGTGATACAAGTTATGATAAAACTGTATAAATGTACTTGTATGCATCCTAATATGCTAATTAAAGTGTAGGACTAAATTGGTAAGTCAAAACATAGAAATAATTTTATACACCCTCTTAAACACAAAAATAAATAAACTATAAAGCTGATATACATACAAGGGAAATAAAGAAAAATTGCAGATAACTTGGACATTCAACAGTTATAAAATTCACAGCTATGATACATAAAATAACTATAGTTTTAAGACAATACAAACAGATAGTTTTCAAGTTATATATACAGCCAACAGAATTTAATTATGTGCTCATGCTGAAGGTTTTTAAAGAAGATTCACTGTTCCAATCAATAGTGATCTAAGTCTTTATTTTAAAATATCAAATATAAAATATAGGGTTCAAATATTAACTAAGAAATACATGAACTCTGATAAACAAAGTTAATTTGCATTTCTTATTTAATGAATATGCAAGTTAGACTGCTATCACAGCTATTTGTTTGTACTGTTTGTTTTTGATATTCATGAAAAGTTACACAAGGGCAATCTAGTCTAGCCATCCCTAATTTTGAACTAACTGAATAGAGGGGAAGACAGCAAGTCAACAGCACCCACTACTAAATTCTGGGTTACTTTAATTGACAAATATTTTACCATCACTCTTAAAACACATTCATGGCCTCAAAATGTGTAGTACAACTCTATGGCAATGGAACATGAACCATGGCCCTTCAGATACACAGTCCAGCAGGTAATCACTAGGCCACACCCAGCCCTTTATATATATTGAGATATAGAAATGAACTTACGTCTATAAAAAATTCATAAATTAAGGTACCATATACTATATTCCAGTAGCTATATTTAATGAATGCACAAATTTTGACAAATTACTTGTACTTCATAGTATATGCAAGTCCAATAATTAAGTTTGAAGATGATAGTGACAGTTACAATAAGGTGACAAAATATGTTATCAAACATACATTTTATCTTAAAACTTGTGCCTAAACTTTTAATACTTTCACTACCATGTTTACTGATAAGTCAGTTTTATATTTATTAGCTGTAAAATTTATGCAGTTCTTTCAATCACCCTCATATTAAGAACAAATTCACATGATTTGTGTAATGTATGCTACAGCCACTTTACAATGAAGTATAGAATAATCAATATGCAAGTGGTAGAGGTCAGTAAAATGGTTAGAGATGCTATACAGTAACATTAGATAAAAGTCAACAGTTATGATAAATGTCTATGTACACATACATTTACACATTTGGTAATTTCATGCTCACCTTGACAGGGTGAGGATCAACTCCATAAGCATCCAAAACACAAGCTTTTTGTAAAAAGTTTATCTCTGCCACAGCTGGAACCTGGCCACTAATAAGTAATACATAACATTGCTATAACATTTGATTATATAAGTTATTGGTAAACTTACTTAACAGTCAAAAAATGGTCACAAACGAGACAAAATACACAAATTATACCTGGTTTTAATGATCTCAGTAAAGTTTTCAATCATGAACTTACTTAAAAAAAAATAGCAAGACAGAAGATAATTTATGTATAATCTCAACAATACTTGATTCTAACAATGGTCAGCTACTGTGCAGTCAGTACAGAGCTTTCCAAGCTCTTTACATACAATGACTTCAGACACAGCTTGTGAGGCACCAAGCTGACTGCCAAGAAGCCAAGCATAACAAGTTTGAGGTGGCTCTCTAATAGTGATGAAACACACCTAACCAAACAAACATATAGAGATCAAGTTGTGCATCATAGGAAAAATATCTTGACAAACAACTGTCAGGTTTTCCACTGGAACTATTGAACATGATTTTCTTTTGATTTAGAGAAATACTTGTCCCATCTTTGTATACATCACTACTTCCCATCTTGAATTCCAAAATATTGTAAGAATAGACTGTTCAGAATTTTCTTCAGATTCTATCCATAAGAAACCACTTGGACCTACTTCAGGGACCGAGTTGAAATCTACCTCATCCACAAGTTATACTGAAAATACTGTGTGTGTGAAAATGGAGAAACATTCTTTAGATCTCCATCCAGAAACTTCTGGCTGCTCAGGGTATATATATATATATAGGTGGTTGCTATTATGTTAAATAAACATCTTGAGAAGATTAAGTTTGATATTGCCGAGATATAATGTTGTTGCAACTACGATATGCGACATATCAAGAGGCATCTACAGAGCAAGGAATGGAACTGCCTTAACCCTAGAACACCAGTGTGGGGTCACTATGACCTCATACCACCTGGTGTTAATGACTGAAAATTTAATGCTGGCACTCTAGGGTTAAGAAGACAGTAAATTTCACTCTTATTTGTAGTTAAGTTATAATTCTAGTGATGTTAAAATATATGCTGATAATTTGGCACCTCCAATTATACATTGCCCAGTATATACAAAATAATATACACACGCATACATACATAAGAAAATGTTGTCCTAAGCTTTATGAAAACTTAATGTCTTTTGCCATTTATGAGAAGAAATGTAAACTGTTTAGTTGTATGATTTTTGTGCTATTGCCTGAAATAGTCAAGAATATTTATATTTTCTATTAGAGTTTATCACTGGGTAGAAATTTCCAACCCTGGTACCTGAGGGTCAATACCCATTGGGTATCCTTCAGTTTACTTACTGTTAAAGGTCAACGGAAACTGAAAGACTTGTTAGCCTAGGATTGGACTGCCAATTTTTGCAGTTTTGTACATTTGGTAGAATTTGGAAAGCTAAAGTCATGGGGAAGGAGATTAAACAACAGTATAATACTTCAGAAAAAAGTTCTACAAAATATTATGAAACTGAAGTGAAGCATTCATATTTACAGTATAGGCTGAACCTACCTCATAGTAGGTTAGTTAAACTAGGTCTAATGCTTGCTGTACTGACTTTCATGCTTATTTTCTCCAATGTGTTTAGTGTTGTTTCCAAGTTAACTGTATCTTGTGTGTCTTTTTTAATTTTCCATCTTAGACACAAGCAAGGGTTTACAGCTTACAAGAGCAGTTGTATCTTGCAACTTGCAAGCCATGGGTATACATGCTTACTGCTTATATTACTTGCATCCCTCCATTACTTTAGTCAGATATTTTACAGCAACCTTCAAATGAGTATCACAGTCTGATATTATTGCTTGGCCAATCACATGCTTTCACTTTCTGTTATCAATACATAGTTTATGTGATTAGACAGAACTATGAATTATGGTACGGGTTATAGTATAACCCAAACCGTATAAACCATTGAACTTTGTGAACATGTGATGACAGGTGCAAGTTTTGAGTCGAGTGTACATTATCCATAAAGCAATTTGCCACATTACATACAGACTTTGTGCATAACATCTCAAGCCTCAATACGCAAACTGATAACTGTGTAATGTTATATGTTTAGTACACTATATCCAGTAAACAATAGCAGTACACTATTACTGGTAGGGATAAGGCTTACAGTACTATCAGAGAGAAAGGAATGAATGGAAAACAAAACAAACACACAGCAAAACTTTGATGAATTATTATTATTATATTTTATTTCTTAACATGCACAAAACATATATGACATTCAATTCTCAATATTTACACTTAGATGATCTTGGAAAATCAGAATGCCAAGAAAAAAATGAAAAGAATGCATGCAGTTTGATGTTATTTACTGCTTTGACAGATCTGGGTTGCAACTTCAGAACCAAATAGTAAAGTTGTTGGGCGGGTACCCAGTGTAAATACTATTACACCAAGAGCTTGTATATAGTCTCAAAAACAGAACAAATGATTCATTTGTAGACAATAACTACATTTTCTGAACTAATGTTCAGTGTTTTACAGCAATTATAATGTCAGAAGACACTTAAATATGGTGAACTACATTATTTTTGCCAGAAACATTTTAGCTAATTATTAAAGAACTATTAAAGAACCACTAGATATATAAATCTACCAATACATAAAGTATTTATAGACCAACTGCTTTACAATACGTATTTTACACACCGTAAGTGACACTGATGAATTTCAGCTACTTTCTCTTCAAGGCGAGCTGTCTGTTTCAGAAGAAGCTTGAAGTCTGCTACATAGTTACCACTGTGTTCATCTGGATCATAGTCCCCTAACTCCGCTAATGTTAGAAGAATATCCACATAAATAAAGCATTAATGTACACATACATATATATTTATTTATTTTTCAGGAAACTAAGCATTCACAACAGAAAAAAATTCAAATAACTTGAGACCTCTCACAATTAAAATTTTTCAGGGGATGATATTGTTATGTCTCTGGTCATTTGTTAATTACTCGTAAAAATTCTTTCCAAAGAACTTCAGCGATACAAGTCCTTTCTCAAATAAAACTAGTTTATTCTTTCTCAATTCAACTTTGCAATACACTTAATTTCCACAGTCACCTTAACTTAAACACACGCTATAATTTACAACGAACGATTCACGCACTTTACTTACTACCGCGCTTGACTCAATTGTCCATCTATCTCTCCAATCTCTCTGTCTGCTATACCATTATTGCTGTCACTTTATTTACCGACTTATATATACGAAATAGAGGGCATCTGGAGAACACTTGAGGCTTCACGAACGAATATGATCTTTCTAGAATCTCATGACATGTTACTAGCGTCACGTGACTTCCGCTATCGTAACAATATCATACTCTTATAAACACATAACTAAGGAAGAGTGATGATGGTTTGAAAAACATCAGGCACAAAATCTAAAAAAATATAATTCTAATATTTTATCATTAATAACTGAAGAGCACTGGTATTGGGCAAAAGATTGTCCAAGCACAACCACCACAGAAAAAAGTAAAAATTTAAATCTACTTTTCATTTCATAAGAAGTCATGAATTCCTCTCTGTAAGGTGTTGGCTTCCATTACTGTCAATAAAAGGAGACCAAAGCTGTATGCAGTATTCCAAATGTGGCCTAAATAGTGATTTTTTTAGACAGATAATTATCTTTTTTGAATGTCTTCCACATGTATATAAATACTTAAAATTCTATTAGCTTTACTACTAACAGCAAAGAATTGCTCTGATGTTACTGAGTGGTTTTCCATCTATATTAAACATGTGATTCAATTACAATAACCTAAATGTAATATATTGTATTTATTCTGATTAAAGGTCATTGGCCAAACATATTTCCAGCATAACAACTGATCCCAATCATTCTATAGTATTTCAACATCCTCTGTAGAGTTACACATACCCAAGAATTTAATGTCATCAGCAAACTTTACAAATTATGCATCTATCAATATCATTAAGTAAATAAAAAAGAGCATTCTACTAGTAACAAGCATTCAGTTTGATTGGACTTCATTAATAACAGTCTTTTGCTTTCTCCCCTCCAACTACCATCCAGTACAATTAACTAGTCTTTACCCAAACCCTACAGATGTGATTTTTTTAATGAATCTTTTGTGTGGCATTTCACCAAAAACTTTTTTTAAGAACTAAATACACCAAATCTACACCCTTTCCATCACTCAAGTAACATCATCAAAGAAAGTTAAGAGATTAGCATTAAGGCAAGATTTAACTTTGTTGAATCTATGTTAAATTTAATTTATGTTATCATATTTTACTACTTTATTTTGTATACTTCTTTTGACTGACTGATCTATAATTTCAAGGTCAATTCTTATAACCCTTTTTTAAAAATAGATGTTAAATTAGCAACTTTATAATCCTCAAACACCTTCCTTATGCCTTTCTCAAGAGTTACAGCATCATGTATAAATACAAAGTGGTAACCAAAAATAGCACACAGAGTTGTATTTAGGGTAGGGCAGGAGGCACTGTGAGCTTAACACCTCTTTCTTCAATCAGTCTCCAGCTACTACAACTACTCCATGAACATCTAGGTGTAACTCTAGTTACAGAATTTATAACCACCATACTCATCTTTAGCCTTACTTAGTACAAGTACTCCATGAACACTTAAGTGTAACTCTAGTTACCGAATTTATAACCACCAAATTCATCTTTAGCCTTACTTGATACAACTACTCCATGAACACTTAGGTGTAACTCTAGTTACAGAATTTATAACCACCATACTCATCTTTAGTCTTACTTATTATATTTTATTTAAACCCTTAAGTACACTTTTATATATATATATATATTTAGCCAATGCTAAAGGAAAATATGCCTAATACATTTTTACATAATGCTCTCATCCCCTAGACAAATTTACAACAGTACATGGAAAAATCATTTCCTGGAAACTGGGTGACCTTCATGACATCACTCAACTCTCTTTATATACCACTTATTCGATTATACCACCATTTCCATTTTGCCCCTGAAGAAGAAAGGTCCACCTTTCAAAAGTGCTTGGGTTATAGGGTTTTATCATCTTGTACTATATGAATTTATCATCCAAATTAACCCTATTGTCTCAGGCATCTTTTACTGTGCATGACACAAGGTTTTAGTGACTTACATTCAAAATTTTATTAATATACTTTATGTTTATGTTATACCAATATCAAAAACCTTTGAAATGCATTTAGGAGGTTTTAGGGATTACACAAAGGAAATTTGAGATTTGTGAAATGAGAAAATTGTTTTTAATTTTTACATGAAAATTACTTTGCACATAGACTATTAAAAACAAATACTCAATATATTAATGGACTGAAAAACTGTCAAATTTTGTGAAGATATACACACTATATTGAAAGTTAGAAGTATTAAATCTATAAAGACTTTAATTGAGTACAAAATTGTCAAATTGACCAAGCCCGTGTTGAGAGAGTTAGCAAACATTACAGGAAGCATGCTTAAGAGGGTAATTGGGTTTTTACTGTACCTGTTATCAGTGAGACTTGTTGAAGGCATCTACCATACATAAAAAAATCTTCAAGGGACTAATCTAGAAAAATTTAGGTTAGAAGAAACAGAGTTAGCTAAAAAAATGAGCATTACTCCTGTATTTAGGGAAAGGAGGGGAAGAGACTGGACAATATTTCACAAGAGCAAGGTTTTAAAGCAGAATTCTATACAGTCCTTGATAAGGTCATGGTAGAATTTGAAAAGTCATTTGAATGTTTGAAGATTACATTGTTGGAGTTCCCCCTTTTAAATCCAGCTCAGATTTGTAGTATGGACATTCCAAATTTGAGAAAATATGCTAAAGAGTTAGCTATTAAATATTACAAAGATCTAGAACCAAATGGATTTCAATATGTAATAGAAAGCTTAAGATTGAAGTATCTTTAATGTTTCAAGAACCTGGAAATGCTACTCCTCTAACTCTTCTGAATACTATACACGAGTGGTGTATGACAGCCTAATACAAAAATACTGAAACTGCTTTGTGCATATTCTTAACCCTTCCTGTCACAGTTGCCACAGCTGAACAGTTCCAGCAAAATTAAACTAATCAAGAATTATCTAAGATCAACAATGAGTCAGCAGCACTTAACCAAACTGGCTGTTTTGTCCATTGAACATGAAATTGTAAACATCCTCAATTATAATGATTTAATTGATAAGTTTGCATCTACTAAAGCTAGGAAAGTAAAATGTTAAGTTTTTTCACCAAAGAAAATAATTTGAAGTAAAGATATACCATATTTTTTGGATAAGACACAC